GACTGAACTTTAACACTAACATCGATGTTCGCAAAGCATTGTACACCACACTGGTTAGGAGCAATCTAGAGTATTGTTCTCCCGTGTGGTCCCCACATTCTCGTAAGTTGATATCTCTAGTCGAAGGGGTGCAACGCCGGGGAACAAAATTTATCCTAGGTCCCCAGGCTAATCACCTTACCTACAAGGAACGACTAGAGATACTGCGGTTGTTACCGCTCACATTTAGGCGTGAAGTTGGGGACATAATGTTATTTGTTAAGTCTAGGGCAACTCTGGAGAAATATGTTTCTTTTCCAACCAGACCCACAAGAAGTGCCAGAACACATATGTTAACCCCTTTTAGAGCCAAAACATCATCGTTCAGTCACACATACATCCCCAGGCTAGTCACTATTTGGAATAAGTTAGGCTCTGACCTCCGCGGTACTGGTGAGCGAGCAGCTCATCAGTCGGATATTACATCATTTAAACACAAACTCCTCAAGGCCACCTACAACAGATTTAACACACATTACAGTCTTGACCTGCCATGTACTTGGACCACTTCTTGTGGGTGCAGTTCTTGCATTGCCTCTAGACCCTACTAAGTTCCTATATCAACATGATGTATTCCCACCTATTATTAGGTAAAATTGTTTAATGCTTAACATATCATATTGTTATATTTATTGCTTATTTCTACATATTGCTGCAATTGATTATGTATTTGACTGTGTAATGTTGTTGTTGTTCATGTGTGTTTACACATTCATTGTTTTTTGTAAGGGAGGGCAACTTGTAAAGGTGCGCAAGCACCTGTTTTGCCCTCCCTTTCACTTTGTGAAAAATTCAAATAAACAAATAAACAAACTTCCGGTTTTGATATCTCATGATCTAGACATCCTAGGGTGACGAAATTTGGATGGTAGGTAGCTCTTGTGCTGGGGAACAAGTGACGTGAGTTTGGACCCCCTAGCGGCTTGCTCTGGAATTGCAGGGGCATTAGTTGAAAAATGTTTAAAGGCGGATAACTCAAGAACCGATGGATGGATCGTCGTGATTTTTGGCATGTAGGTAGCTGAAGTGATGCTTGACATATTGTTATTACAATTCTCTCTCTGGTTGTCCATCGTCTCCGATGATGACTTCTGTGCACAGCCCGTCAGGTGGGGTGGATCCTCTGGTGACTTCTTAGCCCAAAGGCTGAGGCACACAGCTTCCCGCACCTGCTGCACTGGTATTCTGTAGTACAATTATGCAAATATTAATGTAATTTGCATAATTAATGAGGAAATTCTATATATCAGCTGCATTCCATGATAGGACTATTCAAGCTTGTGATATATGTAATGCAGAACGGCAGAAATACAGGCAGATATCGATTATGCAAATGAAGACTTAATTTGCATAATTAACGAGAAAATGTTATAATTACATAGTGGTAAGGTCTGGAATTTCATACTTGGGATATTTGAAAGTTATGTGAAGGTGAACATTATTAAACATAATTTATTCAAATAAGGACCTCATTTGCATAATTTATGAGGACATGCTATAATGGCATGCATTGATAAGATAAGACTGTCTTCTGGTGTAGAATATGATCAACAGATATAATTGATGCAATATAGGATCCTATTCGCACAATCAGGGGGATTCATCTATAATTTCTTAGTCATAAAGGCTAACATCATTTGGCGAAGGTATGAGATCGTGGAACTCTAGTATGATAACTATTTCTGATCACAGAGAAGGAAGACACTGGTCTGTGGCCAGGTTAGTCCAGCTATGTAAGACATTTTTTGTTTGACAGCTTAGAAGAAAGTGATGTAATAAGGTGTTTTTCTGACAGGTAAGAACTGTAGCCAGGTGAGCCCAGAAAATGAAAGTGATGTACATGTATTACTAGTATTAAAGATTTTTATTTTCTGACAGGTAAGAAGGAAAATGCTGGTCTGTGGCCGGGTAAGAAGGAAGACACTGGGCTGTGGCCAGGCCGGTCCAGAAAGTGAAAGTGATATAATTAGTGAAAGTGATTTAAAATGTCAAAACTTTTGTTTGACAGGTAAGAAAGAAGACACTGGTCTGTGGCCAGGTAAGAAGGAAGACTCTGGTTTGTGGCCGGGTAAGAAAGAAGATGCGGGTCTTTGGTCAGGCCGGTCCAGCGGCAGGAAGAAGAACCAGGAGCACCTCTCCATCTCCACCAGACAGCTGGTGCCCGAAGCAGAGGACTCTGGGAGCGAGACTAGAGCGGAACCTGACAAACCCGGGACAGAGATGGTCCCACAGTACTCCCCTGGGAACGAGAGCAGCAGGTGAGTCTGGGGTGGTGGGCGTGGCTTCTGTGGTTGCCATGGAAATGTTCTATGAGTGGAAATGTTATAGGCTCTTGCCATGAGGATATGTCTTACATAAATTAATCAGCCAATCAATTGATCAACTTAATTGAACAACAATAACTGTAACAGGTACAATGCTCGTATATGGCAAGTTGGTCAATGGTACAATTAATATCAGTATATAACTAGTCTAAAAACTATGTACACTCACCGCCACCAGAAACTAGTATATTAATGACAATTATGATAATAATCAGAATGCACAAGAGACACTACAAGTTTGTGTCTGAGGCAATACAATATCTTTTTCATAGAGCACTTAGATGTATATACTGGTCTAGGTATAATTTTTTAAGGAAATGAAGTCAAGGCACTACATACATGTATTAGACAGTAAGTCTCTCTGTACTCATCTTTTGTAAAACTGTACAACTTGTAATTTCTGTTGTCTTACTTTATTTCAGGTCTGTGTACCCGTTCCACCAGGGCACAGTGAAGTACCTGTACGCCCAGGACGGCTCAGGCCAGGCCGTCATGCCAACCATCGCTGACAAGTACGTATGTTTGTTTGTTTGTTTGTTTGTTTGTTTTACCCGTTCCACCAGGGCACAGTGAAGTACCTGTATGCCCAGGACGGCTCAGGCCAGGCCGTCATGCCAACCATCGCTGACAAGTACGTATGTTTGTTTGTTTGTTTGTTTGTTTGTTTGTGTGTACCCGTTCCACCAGGGCACAGTGAAGTACCTGTATGCCCAGGACGGCTCAGGCCAGGCCGTCATGCCAACCATCGCTGACAAGTACGTATGTTTGTTTGTTTGTTTGTTTGTGTGTACCCGTTCCACCAGGGCACAGTGAAGTACCTGTACGCCCAGGATGGCTCAGGCCAGGCCGTCATGCCAACCATCGCTGACAAGTACGTATGTTTGTTTGTTTGTTTGTGCATTCACCTCTGCTTGTACTAGCTGCAACACTACCTGTCAGCATTGAATGACCAAGGCTGAGAGATCAGACATTCAATCCTTGTCATTCCTGGCTAGACTTTGTGTCTACCTCTCGAATACCGTGCTATTGACACAATGGACTAACAACCCACTGCCCATTTGGCCTCAAGAAGGCTATGGAACCTTATCCTGCACTAGTTCTAAGCCTAAATGGGTTAGGATCAGGCACAGTTCTGGATAGTCTCTGCGTATCCAAGAGCGTACGTTGCCCCAGGCACGGTTCTGGATATGCCTGGACTATCACTGTTTTGGATGTAGCAGCCCTTTACCTTTCTAACGCTGCTCCCCTCCCCCAGGTCTGAGGTGCTGGTGCGACGCGGGGTGCAGGAGATGTTCGGCGTGTTACGCCTTCTCGTGGATGTGTTCGTGATCCTGGCGGTCGAGCTCGCGCGCTTTGTGTTCCGCCAGATCCTGCAGAACCTGGTCGTCGGCCTGGTGGTTGTCATGGGCGACCACTTCTTCAAGCCGCTGGTGGCCGCCGTGTTCAACTCCTTCCTCCAGCCAGTCCTGATGCTGCTGTGGAACGTTGCCACGGCAACCAGGACGGTGTTCGGCCCGCTCGTCGACATCTTACGGGGCGTGGCCCTGCAGATCGCCGTGGTGCTGCGGGCCTTCCGATTGGTCGAGGTGAACTGGAAGACGGACAGACGGGACTACGGGGCTCTGCAAGAAGTTTGACTGCGTTGGTTTCAAAATTGGTACAAATAGATAAGGACTAGCCTCTTATGCAGACTTTCTTGTGGGCAGCATTTGTTTCTACGAGCACTGCTGGAGTGTGGCATTTTCTTTTGGGGGATGAGAGCTTCATATGGTGCAATACTAGTCTCCTCCAGACTCTTTTGCAGACTGAATAGATAGTAGAAATCAGCCTAAAAAGAATGTAGCTGGCCAAGGGAGTTGGCCAGCCATAGAGGGTTCAACTACTATTTAATATTCAGGCTGCAAAAGAGTTTGGTGAAGACTAGGGCAATACAACCAATGTACAGCTCTTCCCCTGAAAAAAAAAATTGTTTTAGCTGCACTCGTAGAAACAAAAGCTGGCCAACTAGATAGAAACATGGTTAACAAATGAATGAGCTCTAGTACTGGCAGGGAGGGTCTTGTGCCTAAGAATCTCAGAATTCCACAGAAAAAAGTATTGTGAATATTAGTAGGGCAGAATTGTACATTTTTAAGTGTTTTTTAAACTTTAAAAAGTTCAAGACAGTCACTGTGGTATTTTTTACGGTAAGACCAAGTTTTCATGTTTTTTAAAGATACATGTATGCTGTCTGAATTCTACTCAAGAACTTGTAAATGTTACAGTTGAATGTAAAAGATCTAGACTAGTTCTGTCAACACGAATTTGTAAATTTTTTTGGGTAAAACAGTCGATTGTTTTATAATCTTCGGTCATACGAAAGCCATTTGAATGCCATAATGTAACCTGTTGTACCAACGATCTGGTTTTATAAAAGACGTTAGAAAATGACTGTTAAACCTACTTCAGCATTAGCCAAGTACTCAGGAAAAGACAGATGGAAAATATGTTTCAGGCGCAAGACATACAATGCACCAGCTTTCTTCACTTCTCAAATTCCAATCAGTGTGTTTTACAGGTACACGTACTGCCATGTGTAAAGCCCTCACGTGCAATGTTATGTAGAAAATAAACACACGTTTAAAGCTCAAAGACAACAGCCGTTCCTTTTTTCCAACGTTTTATTCAGGATTGGAATCTTTAAGACTCCTTTCTAAGCCACGATAATCTTCCTCATACTCCTCTACTTTCTGTAAGAACTCTGCATACTTTAATAGTCGGGATGGATTAACTCATTTTACTCCGTAAGGGGACATAATTCATTTCAGCGAGCCTTAAAATAAGCAAGACACAGTCTGACAGTATTATAAGTCATGGGAAAGTCTACAGTGGACACCCCTACATGGGTGAATGGTCCATCCCATCAGCTAGGAGCAAACTTGTCTTGGTACATAGCTTATCGCGCCTAGTGGTTTATTATCAGCCGTTATTAGACTGACAGTGAGATATGCAACAAAATATACCCTTTTCTACCTCATTCCAAGCATGCTTCTATCCCACAACACATCAGCGGTTTACCTTATTCCCCACATGACGCTATCCCAGCAGTCAATGTACTTCTACCACCAAGCACCTTGATGATTGTACATTGGAATTTTTGCAAAACTAGCCACACATTTGTAAAATAACGTTCTCTATTACATAATTCGGAATGCCCGTGTGGACATTGTATGATCTAAGTTTATGATATCAACTAATCATATTTAATTTACTGTACATGAAGAGCTAGTGTAACTAGGAGCAAACGTGACAACTTTTCTATGATCGTTTGTACAGCTTATGTTATAGAAAAGCCCCTAACGTTACATTAACTCCCCCCAAACATTACTGAAGCTCCCCTATCGATACAGAAACTCCCCTAATTTTACAGAAACTCCCCTAACAATATTGCTTGCTATGCTTCAGCTGTGTTCTATTTACAGTCAAGCTTCTTTTCCCAAAATGTACAAGTCTGTCTCCAGTCTAAACAGCACTCACCAAGTGTCACATTGTACTAAAGGCCATGGCTACTGTCAATACACATTGTACTAAAACTCAGTGTCTATAGTGTTACGTGTACTAAACATTCTACTAAAGGCCAATGTCTAGTGTAAAATATTTTCTAGTAAAGCGAAATGTGAACATGACAACCAGTGTCTGGCCACAATAGTGTGCACATGTATTTCTACTAAAGTCATTTTTAGTTAATGTGGATTCCTACTTTTTAAGTCTGCAGTATTCAGATGTGATCATAACACAACAGTATCTTGTCCATTCTTTTCACCTTCTACTAAGTTAAAATAACTCTAGACATAAACTTTTCACTTAAACATAAACATAAGAACTAACCTTTACATCCTGCAACTGATGTTTTCGTACCATAAGGCCACACCACTTTATTTCCTTCGCTAGCAGACATTTCAGCAAGAAAACCTTGTGTGTGTGTGTGCATGCATGTGTATGTGTGTGTGTGTGTGTGTGCATGCATGTGTATGTGTGTGTGTGTGTGTGTGTGTGTACGTGTGTTTGTGTGTGTGCACGTGTTTTTGTGTGTGTGTGCGTGCATGCGTGTGTGTGTGTGCATGCGTGTGTGTGTGTGTTTGTGTGTACATACAAGTGTGTGTGTGTGTGTGTGAATGCTTGTATGTATGCGTGCGTGTATGCAGGTGAGTCAGTCTCCTGAAGCAATGCATTGTGAGTGCCTCTATACATAACAACCGACAAGAAAACGATTACACGACACAGCCGCTAACGACATTCGCACGTCGGACATTAGCACTTCTCCTTGGGCAGAGCGTTGCGTGTTGGCTGGCGGGGCACGCCGCGCTGCGTCAAAGCGTCGAATCTTTTGAAGGTGTAGTTCAGGAAAACCCAGTCTTTGTACTTGTTCTCTTCGCCTTCTTTGGAGGTTGGTGTGGCTGTCAAGGGAAAAAAAAACAAAAGAGTTACCATCTGGATCTAAATTTTAATTGGAATGGCAATAATTTATTACAAGTATCAGTCACAGTGTGACAGTCAATGAAAAATTAATTCAGTAATGTACAATTATTTCAGTTACATGGCTACCAATAGTACCATGTTGATTTGAACAAATTCGAGTTTGAGTCCAGCAGAGCCGGCATAACTACCCTTCTGCGTAAAACACTGGCTTTGAGGGATGTGTTGGACAAGAGAGAGACTCACAAGGCACACACACACACACACACGTGCACACACACACACGCACACATACACACACATACAGACACACACACACACACACACACAAATGGACACACACACAGACACATGTACACACACACGCAGACACAAACACACAAACACACACACACTCACTCACTCACACATACACACACACTCACGAGCACACGCACACACACTCAATCGACATACACACACACACACACACAAACTCACATGCACACACACACATACACAAGGCTGGCACACACACACTGAAAGACAGAGACTCACGTGGCTGCAGCTCGATCTCGGGAAACTCGTCGAAGTTGGACGTGTCGTCGAAGCTCTTCACCGTGACGGGAAACGGCGCCGGCCGCTCTCTGCAGGGAAGGAGTCAACGTTAGTGTTATTTTTATTTATTTATTCACATATATTCATTTTTGTGTACTACGCAAGAAGCCTGGGTAGTGATGAGGGTGTTTCAAACTTACTGGGGTGGGGGGTCAGACAATTATTTAATCATTAACCTCCTTAAGACAAGCAGTGCTGCTGCTGCTGCAGCATCACACACCAGGCTCTAACATGGAATCCAAAGGGTAGAAGATAGAGGGGCCGGTCCAGAAACAGTAACTGTTGGAGAAGAGATACTGAGGAGGAGATGACAAGGAGAGTAGGAAATAGGATGACCTGACAAAACTAAGACAGCCCAGAGGCGGGTAAAGGAATCGTCGGTGGCCTATGCTCAGACAGAGCAAAAGGCCAAAGAAGAAAGACAAACAGACCTGATGTGTTCCCAGTCGACGGCCTTGAAAACTGGTTTTCTCTCAGCTCCTCGATTCCCTGCTTCCCCAGCCGCACGTCCATGTCTGTACACAACCTGTGGAGAGAAAATAATACATGTACAGGGTAACATCACTAAAGCAGGGCTCTCCCCAAGCAATGAACCAAGGGTGCTCCCCATGTACCCAAAATCCTAGCTCCTCGCCCAAAATTTTAAATCTTGAGTTTCCTCTAAGTATTTTTCATGAAAATTGACAGATCTTTTCCGCAACATCAACTGATTAGCAAGGACAATCTGTGTAATATCCTTGTGATTAGGAAGCACCTCTCTCCTCAAATTTTCTGGGGAGACCCCTGCTAAAGAGACAGGGTAACATTACCACATCCATGTCTGTACACAACCTAAACAAGAATCACAGTTACAAGATTCAAACACACATTTTCTTTACTTGAACTTAGACAACATTAACCCACAGGACAGAGGCAAGTGGCCTGCTGCCATCAAGCCTCAGTATTGCAGTGCAGGCACGTCTAACCCTTGGAAGACAGGGAACAACAGATGATAAACCGTACAGGGAGTGAGAACATTTTTCACAGCTATTTTGGAATTCTATTCTTATGTAATACTTTACTGTACTACGAGTTCTTACACTAGCTTAGACAGTCACCACTGACTCAGACTTAGAGAAACATTACTTCTTGTAAGTGACACAATACAAGTCTTGAAAGATTTTTACCTTTCGATGAGGTTCCTTGAGTTGAAGGAGATGGGCACCTCCGGCGGGAAAACCAGCATCTCTTTCCAGTTCATCACCTTCCTGTACGTCTCCTGGGGGTTCTCCGAACAGAACGGCGGGTAACCTAGCAACAAAGAAGCCACATGACAAGCCTCACTGGGTCAGTCTACTGAGGAAGACCAGAGTGACTGGTCAAAAGCTCTAGGTGAGAGAACTTCTTTGTGTTGGACCAAAAGTTTTAACATTAAACAACACAGATGAACTTTCACGATAGTATAAGAAGTAGAACTCACCTATTAACATCTCGTACATGATGACGCCCAGTGACCACCAGTCGCAGGTTTTTGTGTAGCCGGTTTGCATGAAGACTTCGGGAGCGATGTAGTCTGGGATTCCTACTGTAGAATACGCCTGGGGACAGTAAACAGGGCAACATTAAATAGGGTAACTAATACATTTAGATATAATGATCTAACAGAGCATCTATGAAATACGTTGATGAAAGTTAGACATCCAGGTAATAAGATATGCCAAAAAACAGTTACTCAAGCAACTGGATATGATTTTAGAAACAGACATTTCAGCTAGTATCCACTAGCTTTCGTCAGTGACTGAGAGACCAGAGGAGAAATGCAGGTTTATAAGTACAAACTATTGATTGAATAAGCTACCACAACAAACATCTGTCCTCACTGGCTGTACAGTAACCCAAAACATTTTGAGTGGCTCTTATGAATATGAGCCTTAGCTTGTTTTGTGGTGAATCATGAAGTAAATAAAATTTTTTTTAAAATCAGTACATTTTTTATTCCTCTATGCCATGGGAAATATACAAGTTGGTGATTAACAGTTGCAGGTTTGTTTGTTTGTTTGTTTGTTTGTTTGTTTGTTTGTTTTACTGTACAAGTTGTCTCCTGTTTCTTTTTCCAGCTCTCTGCTCTTCTCTTGGAAGTCTTTGGCATCCATGGGGGTGTGGGTAGCTGGGGAGGGGAGAAACACAAAACATTCAACCATGAAAGTTCATCTGTGTTGGTAGTTACATGTTTAGAGTTAAAACTTTACATCCAACACAAAAAAGTTCTCTCACCTAGAGCTTTCGACCAGTCACTCTGGTCTTCCTCAGTAGACTGACCCAGTGAGGCTTGTCATGTGGCTTCTTTGACCCAGTGTATGTTGACGTCACACTTCAAAGAAGCCACTGAGGAATACCAGAGTGACTGGTAGAAAGCTCTAGATGAGAGAACTTTTTGTGTTGGATCTAAAGTTGTAACTCTAAACACAAAACACTCAACTTCACTCCATCAAAGTCTACACCTTCATGTTAGTCCTAACTATATAATAGCATGTATGTGTACTTTCAGAAGCCTACAGAAAAAAGGGTATTACACTGTAAGACTTACTGAAGTCCCTTGGGTTGGCCTGTGTGAGGTCCCTGTAGAACTCTGTCCTGTGAGCTTTCTTCAGTCCGGTGCACAGTCCGAAGTCTGACAGTTTGATGTGTCCCTGCAAAGAACACCATGGTCAGTAACTATGGTAACCCTAACAAACAAACAAACATACACAGTCCGAAGTCTGACAGTTTGATGTGTCCCTGCAAAGAACACCATCATCAGTAACTATGGTAACCATAACAAACAAACAAACATACACAGTCCGAAGTCTGACAGTTTGATGTGTCCCTGCAAAGAACAGCATCGTCAGTAACTATGGTAACCGTGACAAACAAACAAAATACACAGTCCGAAGTCTGAAAGTTTGATGTGTCCCTGCAAAGAACACCATCATCAGTAACTATGGTAACTGTGACAAACAAACAAAATACACAGTCCGAAGTCAGACAGTTTGATGTGTCCCTGCAAAGAACGCCATTGTCAGTAACTATGGTAACCTTAACAAACAAACAAACATACACAGTCCGAAGTCTGACAGTTTGATGTGTCCCTGCAAAGAACGCCATCGTCAGTAACTATGGTAACCTTAACAAACAAACAAAATACACAGTCCGAAGTCTGACAGTTTGATGTGTCCCTGCAAATTACAGCATCGTTAGTAACTATGGTAATGCTAAGAAACAAACAAAAATACTCTCATGCTTTCACACTGAGACATGTCATTTAAAAAAACTCCTATAATGGCTCTAGAAAAAAGTTTATGGACTGAAGGTTAAGGGTGAGAGGTTAGGGGTTACAGGTTAAGGGTGAGGACGTACCCTGGAGTCTAGCAGCAGATTGTCAGGTTTGATGTCTCTGTGGATGAAAGGTTAGAGGTTAAGGGTTGGAGGTTAAGGGTTGAAGGTTAAAGGTGAGGACGTACCCTGGAGTCTAGCAGCAGATTGTCAGGTTTGATGTCTCTGTGGATGAAAGGTTAAAGGTTAAGGGTTAGAGGTTAACGGTGAGGACGTACCCTGGAGTCTAGCAGCAGATTGTCAGGTTTGATGTCTCTGTGGATGAAAGGTTAGAGGTTAAGGGTGAGAGGTTAAGGGTTAAAGGTTAACGGTGAGGACGTACCCTTGAGTCTAGCAGCAGATTGTCAGGTTTGATGTCTCTGTGGATGAAGCCCAGCTGGTGGATAGAGTCGATGGCCAGCGCCGTTTCTGTGATGTAGAACTGCGTCGCCTCTTCTGACAGCGTGTCTTTCTTCATCAGTAACGTCATCATGTCGCCTGGAACAGACACATGTACAAGGGGACAACGTTAGAACCTACAAAACATACACGGGGACAATGTTAGAACCGCCTGAATGCTGAACTGGTTTATTTGGGGTGAGATTTTCCTGATTTTACTGACTTTCTGGTTCGGTGTTAGCCTCTCCCAGGCTTCAGAGGTGGCTGGAAAAAAAAAGTGGAAATTGGCCAGATAGAGAGATACTAGTAACATGCCGGGGGAGTTCGTCAGCAAATAGAGTACATTCTGCTGCCTAGGCCTAGGAAAAAAAAATGTTGTGTTTTCTGTTTCAGTCCTAAAAAAATTATGGTCGGTAGGTAGGGATTATCTTTCTTTTTCTCTTTTTTTTTTGACTTCACTGATATTTATATAGGGGTGCAACTTATACAATACTTGCAAGTAAAACTTGCATGAGGACACTTTTATTTTCAATGCCAATGTTAGAAAACCAATTGTACAACGTTTTATCAGTCAGGTGTTGGTTTTACCAAAGCAATCTTTATTTTATCTTGTTGTATATATATAGCTGTCCTTGGTGCTGAATGACCTTCACACAAAGCATTACACTGTAATAAAGATGATTCTAAACCCCCTCCATCGGTGGACCAACTCCCCTGGCATGTGATCTGTCTATTTGGCCAATTTCTACTCATTTTTCCAGCTGCTTCTGAAGCTTGGTAGAGGGTAGTCTGGGGTAAGATGTAGAGATTTTGACTATAGTAAAATGTTGAACTTTATTCCAACACGAAGATTACACAGAGATCAAATTTTCATCGAACACTATCGCCTTCATCAGGATAATTAATGACCAATCACTTCGAAACATTGTCTCGCCAGAGTTACTGCTACAGACACATGACCTTATTCACACAAGACTTTGCGGATACGTGACATCAGCAATTGATCAAACATGCCCAAGGGTTTATATAGACATTGACTGACCGGTAGGAAATGTACTCCATCAGCAGACCAACTATCCCAGCATGTTACTAAGTATCTGTCTATTTGGCCAATTTCTACTCTTTCCAACCACTTCTGGAGCCTGGTAGACGCTAGTTTACAGTTTTATATACAGTTTTATTATTATACAGTTTAAGAAAATCGACCTTGCAGCATGAGGTAAATGTTCAACAAGCTGAATTGCTTTTGTACACTCGTATGGGACAGAATATCAATTTACATACAACTGGAGAAGTAACATTTGCAAAGCAAATGCATAATGTTTACCTTCGGATATGGCCAGATCTTACTCAAACACATTCACATACATGTATTGTACCATACTAGTATATGGTGACAGGAGCAGAGCAGACCATGAAATTGCAACATTATGTAACCTAACACCAGTCACCATGGTGACAGACGTCAACAAATCATGTCATTGGTCAGGTAAGAGATCACTGTTTGGAGAAGAAGAAGAGGAAGAAACTGAGCAAAAACAATATGTTTTCCTTCGGTAAATATAAAAAGAAAGAAAACAGCAAAGTTTGGGCTGTTGAGACTTAGCCTGACCTCCTGGTAGGAACTCCATGATGTATGTTTTGCGTTAAGACCCAATAAACCAGTCTACTACTACTACTACTACTACAGACTGACCTCCAGGTAGGAACTCCATGATGAGGTAGAGGTTGATGGGGTCCTGGAAGGAGTAGAACATGCGCACCACCCACGGGTTGTCTGCCTCCACCAGGATGTCTCTCTCAGCACGCACGTGGGCCACCTGAGAGAGAGAGAAACAGAGAGAGAGAATGGTTTATTCGCAACTTTTAAAAAATATGCTTAGGCCACATCAATTTAATTTCTTGGTGAGCCACCTGAGAGAGATAGAGACAGAGGGAAAGAGACAGAGAGAGACAGAGAGAGGGAAAGAGACAGAGAGAGAGACAGAGAGAGAGACAGAGACACAGAGAGAGAGAGAGACAGAGAGACAGAGAGAGAGACAGAGACAGAGAGAGGGAGAGAGACAGAGAGAGAAAGAGAAAGAGAGAGTGGTTTATTCGCAACCTTTAAAAAACACACTTACAACAGTTACCAGCTGTCACAAATAAGCAGCTAAGTATATTTAGCTGAATTGAACGTGACATAACAGACAATCAGTTATACATTAGTCATTACAACAATAAAATCATATTAGATATGAGCTAAAAATTCTGTATCTGTATAGCCATAGCACACCAGCTTCGCAGGCACGCGGCGTGGCGGCAGCTGGCTATATCACACCGAATGACTTGTTAATTGTATATAATTACATGTATGAGACTCTTGTGAAAAATTACATTGTGGCATTTAGACTTATTTTCTCACAATTTTACATACAATATTCTTGCGTACAATCAGGTGGATGTGTCAAGATACTGATGCCATGTACTGAAAACTTAACCACTGCGGAGTTCAATAAGGTCACCGGTACCTGTTCCTTCTCCAACATGTCCGCCTTCCGCAGCACCTTCATGGCGAAGATGTGTCCCGTGTCTTTCTTCTGGACTAGTCTGACCTGGAACAGTCGGTAACAAACACAGTTAACAACAACAAACTCCCTCTAGCACCTGTAGCTAGTACTGCAGTTTTCCACACAAGGTGGGTTCAGCACCTAATCATCATTGGTGAAGATGTGTCCCATGTCTTTCTTCTGGACTAGTCTTACCTGGAAAACAGCACCGCACACAGTCAACAACATCTAAAAACACCGTCGAACTGAGTAAAACCAAAATCGAACGCCTACAAGAAACCTGGAACACAGAAAAGTCACTTTAAAGTTTAACATTCTGCAGTTTTGAACATTCAAAACTGCGCATGCATGGCTAGCTGGTAAAGTTGTTGACATTCTAACCTGCAGGGGTATTGATATATGCTGTACCCAAGAACCACAGGACAGAGGCGAGTGGCGAGCTACCATCAAGCCTCAGCATCAGTGTGCAAGCACGTCTAACCCTCGGAACACGGGGAAACACTAGACAATAAACCGGATAGAGAGAACTGAAATCTACAAAATCTATCCTTGATGACAATCCCATTCTTACCTCCCCAAAAGCTCCTCTGCCGATGACTTTGAGGGACTCGAAGTCGTCCACTCCAAGTCTGGACCTTTTCAGTCTCAAGAATTCTGTTTCTTTGGCAGCGTGCTGGTTTCTTCTTTCCTCTTTCTGCAGTGGACACAAACAACTTTAAATTTTACTATCTTCATAATCATCATGAACATAACTTTTAACATCTAACCTATTCCTTAGTCTAATTATTCGACCTGGCAAACAGTTTTCTCTGTTTTTTTTGGCAGCGTGCTGGTTTCTTCTTTCCTCTTTCTGTGGTGGAAGCAAACACCTTATCATCATCTTCATCTTAATCATACGATAACTTTATTGCAAAACAGTTGTACAGGGTACAAAGTATGGCAACTACTAAATACGCATTAACTACATTTTCATAAGGCTTGACCTAACTAATACTAATCATAAACACAACTTTTCAACATCTTTCCCTAATTATTCGACCTGACAAACAGTTTTCTCCATGTGCACCCTTCTTGGTTTTCATTTTTTGTGCTACCTCTGCATATTTCATATGAAGGAATTGGATTTTTTGTATTGATTTGTTTGTTTATGTGATGTTTCTCACCTCCTCACTGGTCAGTCCTTCCTCTACCATGGTTTTCTCCAGTTTCTGTTGTCTGCAGGGAACAAAGATGTTTTCAGCACCCAGAAATAAGTACAACAAACAGAAAAACTAAGCTGCAACAGTAGACAACAATAACCTGTGACTTACAACAGCAACAACCTGATGACATTATTCACTATAACCGACCTGCTCTCCCGTTCCTCATGCTGAATTCCCAGGTTGTGGTAGAAGTTCTCGAGCGTGACCTTGGCGCGGGTGACCTTGTCCTGCGTGTGTGTGCTGATGGGGAAGTTCAGCGCATCCCCCGTGTTCGCCATCATAATCATCCTACGGGTCAAAGGTTGCAACCATGGTTATGTCTTCTAGGGGTCAAATGTCAACATTCACCAACATAATCATCCTGGGTCAAAGGGCAAAGGCTGAAACTATGGTACTGTCTTCTAGGGGTCAAATGTCAACAATTATCATCATATTCATAATCATCCTGGGGGTCAAAGGGCAAAGGTTGCAACCATGGTTATTTCTTCTAGGGGTCAAATGTCAACATTCACCAACATAATCATCCTGGGTCAAAGGGCAAAGCCTGAAACTATGGTACTGTCTTCTAGGGGTCAAATGTCAACAAATATCACCATAATCATCCTGGGGTTCAAATGGCAAAGTTTGCAACCATGGTTGTCTTCTTGGGGTCAAGTGACAACATTAGCAAACATAATCATCCTGGGGGTCAAAGGGCAAAATTGGCCACTGGGGTTGTTTCTTCTTCTGGGGGTCAAATGTCACCATGCGCCATCATAATTCCACAAGTAAGCTGTTTAACACCAGCTTGTTCATGTCTCTTGTTTGCTGAAACACTTGGTTCCTATGAATAGCAAAATTCTTTTTTCACAACCATTTACTTTTTACGAGCCAATGTTTCGATGTTCATCAGGGCAATTCTGACTGGTTTACTGTGCACTGACGCTAGATGTTACTTGGTGCATAGTGCACTAAAGGTGTTACATGGTTCATCATAGTTCGGAAATGCATTGTTAACAGTAAAAACTAGCTTAAGTTCACTGTGAACCAAGTACATGTAACTGTGCACTGTGAACTATGTAACGTACACCTTTAGTACTTAATAATCACTATGCACCAAGTAACATCTAGTGTCAGAGCACAGTAAACCAGTCAGAATTGCCCTGATGAAGATGGCAGACGGTCATCGAAACGTCGGCTCGTGAAAAATAAATGGTTGTGATCAAAGAAATTTGCTATTCATTCGTTTACCAACCTGATGGTTCACAGTAGGCTTCTGGAATAACACCTTTCAGAATGTTTAAGTTGCAAGGAACACAGAACTACAGTGTATATTTCTGTGGAATACTAAGTGTGTCTGTAGGCTAGGTACTAAGTGTGTGACTTGTGTATACCTGTGTCATGCAGGTGTGTCTGTGGGTGTGTCTGTGAGTGAGTGAGTGTGTGTGTCTGTGTGTATGTGTGTGTGAGTGTGTGTGTGTGGTGTGTGTGTGTGTGCCTTTGCCAGGTGTGTCTGTGGGTGTGTCTGTGTGTGTGAGTGTGTGTGTGAGTGTGTCTGTGTTGTGCAGCCTATATAATGCGAATACCTGTGCCATGCAGGTGTGTCTATATAATACCCGTGCCAGGTGTGTCACTGAAATGGGAGGCTTTACGGGGAACATTGTGTTAACTTATCCTAGCCTGGTCAAAAATAATATATGTCTATCTACAAATATAGTTGGACTGGTCAGACCGATAGACCTAAAACCTACTGTACACTACAGTATCAGTTTAACATGCAAGCAGTCTAGATCTGCGAAGCTCCTACAGTTTCAGCTGTAAATAGGCAGTACGTTTACCCACTTAACTTCTCCTATTTCCGATCCCACGTACAACACACACGGTTAAAACGCCAGGAGCGCCAGGCCTGGCCAAGTCGCGACAAGCGAGGGACCAGGCCTCAGAAATTTAGTCGATAAACATTAGCTGTACAGTCGTGATGACTTCAGCGCTCGGTAAGGGTAACTTCTAGGCTGTATTATACGGCGTAAGGCGAACACAGACACGGAAAGAAGGTACAGACAATACCCTGTTGTTCAGACATACGTGTAGTCACGTAGAACTCACCTTAACGCATGGAGTCCGGGACGTTTTCGTCACTACTTCAGGTGCAGAAATCCGAACCTTGGAGGCGCCGAGGCCACTTTCGCCTGCCCTGCCGCCTCACGCAGCCGGACCACTCCGCGCTATGGTGGGGTGATGACAGAAAGTAGTTCCTGGAAGGATTTCCTCGAATTTCTCAGGAATTTCTACTATAAATCAAGTCTTTCCACTCCAATCTAACTCCAATACAGACCTTTGTCAGAAATATTTCTAGAATAGATAGATTTAATGTTTCCTTGTGAGTAAAAATGTGGCACTTAAAGCGGAGTGATACAAAATGCCCTGTTTGCATTAGCTAAGATTTAGAAACAAATCCAACATCGTCTGACCTTGACTCCCGGGGGCAAGGGTCCAAATATGGTCAACAAATGCTGCAATTTTCAATCGATGTGTTTTTTTCTTCGGAAAGAGAAAGAAAAACTGAAAGTGAACGCGGTCTTCCGTAATCAGGGCCTTCAACCTTTGAACTCTGACCTTGAAAGGCGATCACGACAGTTAGGCCTGATTTGATTATATGGATAACATGTCCTAGGAACCTCAAAACTGATGCGCGCGTACGTGCGAATAAAAAAAAGTTTGGCCAAAAAAAAGTTGCTTTCATTTTGAAATCTACATGGTTTTGGAGAAAGAACAAAATTTAATGACACAAGAGTATGGTATGGCGAAAAGCTAGTCTTCAAATTCACTTCATTTTCATCTTTTTCGTTTGATTTTGGCATTCTACGACATTGGTATCATTTTCCAAAGTTACGGTATGTATTTTCACATTTTGCAACTGTTATGTACGATTTACAGAATGGTTGAAAACTTTTTTTTTTGGAAACATCCAAAAATTTATGCGCGCACGTATGTCATCCATATAATTAAAAGGAAAAGAGCTCAGAGCTGTTGCTAAAACATAATAAGTAGAAATATCCACACCACAGACCGCACCAAACCCTTTATTTCAGTCTTTATTCATTAAACATCATCATAATTATACAAAATCTTTTCAATTTGATACTTTGGGCTAAATGGAACAGGATAGCACGTCGGCAGAACGTACTGTGCCTGCGCAGAACCCCAGATTTTCACAGGTTTTGTTGGATTTTTGGTCAACGTTGCATCAGAATTTTGCCTGTTGCAGACGATATCTTTTACGACATAACATTTGAAAACTACTGTCAGAATGTTAACCTTATATGAGCAAATATGACCTTATATGAGACGTTCTGCCTAGGCTATATGCACAATACATTACGGGTTTTGCGCAGGTGCAGTATGTTCTGCCGACGTGCTAAACAGGATATGCTTTGATTTGACCAATGGCTTTGAAGTTAACATACAAGGCCAAGATTCTGACCAATAGCCTTCCAGCTAACAATTACTGGTATTACCTAGCCTAACAAATTGCAACAGGCATATTCTGTCATAGTCAAGTTTATCTGTACATTTAATAGCATCACTGTTGGAACTGAAGAATATATTTACATGTATATTTCACCTGGGTTCACATATCTGTCACATAGCTATACAACGTCCACCTTCATTCCACACAGTCAGAGTTTATTTATTTATTCAAAACTATACAGACCTTTGTCGATAAGGTTAGACATCCAGGTAACTATAAGATGCCCAGATATATAACAGTTACTCAAGCAACTTGATCGATTTTGAAAATGGTCGGATGTTTCAGGCTGCATTCACTCTAGTTTTCATAAGGTCGTGTGGCGCAACGGCAGCGTGCGCAACTAGGAATCAAGAGGTCCCGGGTTCAAGTCCTGACATGCCACCAATCTTGTGCCCTTGGGAAAGGCACTTTACACGACTTTCCCCACTAGACTCAAGTGAAAATGAGTATTGTCTGTACAGTATTCGTTTCTATGTGCGGGACACAACACCAGCAACAGCTGCCTCTGTTCCGCGTGTATTGCGCTGTTGTAATTTCAATGCATCAAATCAAATCAAATCATCAGTGGCTTTCGGGAGTCAGTCTTGGTGACTGATAAAAGGTAGTGGATGGTACTAACATCCGACAGTTTTCAAAATCGATTCAGTTGCCGTTGTCTCCATATATATTACACAGATCTTCCCTTAACCCGGCAAGCTGATTTTTCATCATGTGTTTCTCCCTGAGCTGCCCACATCTGGCGCTGTACACGTGGACTCACTCTCCATAACTTCCGTTTTATTTACAACTAGTTCACTGTCACTTTCTACTTCAGTTTCACTCTCTATAGTAGTGTCACTCTCACTTTCCAAGATGTCTGTCTCGCTTTCATCCTCTGACAAGACAGTCACCTCTGCCTGCACCTGAAGTTGTGCACCCGAGACATGTCTTGTTTCTGTTGCATCTTGTCCTGTTTCGGTGCCGGTTTCCTGCATCGTTGGTGGTGAAGCGTCTTGTCTTGTATCTGTAGTTGTTTCTCCCATGTCTGTTTGTTCCTGAGTGTTGGCTTGAGGAGAGACAAGGCCCGCCGGAAGGGTAGGTACCTTCTCGCTGGAGATGTCCTGTGAACCAGCTAACGCCTCCCTCCTTAGCTGTTCTACAAGACTGACCTCTACAATGCTACTCACTACTTCTCCTGTCTGTTCTGACCCTTCTGAACCCTGTGGCCTGTCCCTGCCATGTAGACCCCCTGTACTAGGTGGCCCATCCCTGCTAGGTGGCCCCTCTACGCTAGGTGGTCCATCCCTGCTAGTTGGCCCATCTCTGCTAGGTGGCCCCTCTACGCTAGGTGGCCCATCCCTGCTAGGTGGTCCATCCCTGCTAGGTGGCCCATCCCTGCTAGGTGCCCCATCCCTGCTAGGTGGCCCCTCTATGCTAGGTGGCCCACCACTGGTAGGTGGCCCATCCCTGCTAGGTGGTCCATCCCTGCTAGGCAGCTCATCCCTGCTAGGTGGCCCATCCCTGCTAGGTGGTCCAGGTGGTCCATCCCTGCTGGGTGGTCCATCCCTGCTAGGTGGCCCCTCTATGCTAGGCGGTCCAACCCTGCTAGGTGGTGCATCCCTGCTAGGTAACCCCTCTACGCTAGGTGGTCCATCGCTGCTAGGCAGTCCAACCCTGCTAGGTGGCCCATCCCTGTTGGGTGGCCCATCCCTGCTAGGTGGCCCATCCCTGCTAGGAAGCCCATCCCTGCTAGGTGGCCCCTTTGGTTGAGCTGTCCTGTCAGACACAGTTGTTGCCGGTGGCTCCTTGTCTTTGAGAAGTACGTGGGTCTGTCGGGGGACGTACGGGGGAGGGGGCTTGTCCTCCCTGCGACCTTCACCCGAGTGTGTGACCTTGAGTTTCGTGCTGATCTCCAGAAGTTCCCTCAGTCCCTTGTTCTCCACCTGCAGTGAGTGAAACAAACATTAGCATGGGGCATAATGGCATAGGTCCCGCCACTTGGTACATAATGTAATCTTTTATAGATTAAGATTAAGTTCCTTTGTAGAAAGTTTTTATTTACATAAAAGAATGTAATAGTTTTGTAGATTGTTAAGCCACCTTATATATTATATATTTCTAGCTAATTGACAGTTCCTAGTGAATTCTTTCATCAGTGACAACTTTGGAAGGGTAAGGATACTAACCTCCAAATTTTCGATGGCTATCAGTCCATCTCGCGAGATTAGGCCACTCCGTGAACAAGATGGATTGATAGCCATCGAAAATTTGGAGGTTAGTATCCTTACCCTTCCAAAGTTGTCACTGATGAAAGAATTCACTAGGAACTGTATCTATACGTGACAAATGAATCTCTTCAACGATAGCTAATTGACCTTTTCTAGCTCCATGATCTGACACCCGAGTGATGAAATGTCATACAATCGGTTTTCCAACATTGACACTTATAAGTGTCCTCCTGCAAATTTTACTTTGCTAAACTGTTTTGTATACATTGTATGTTGGGTCACTAGAGGTTGCCAGAGTCTAATAAAAAAAAAAGAAAATAAAAACGGATAACCCCTAAGGCTACCTACCGACCCTAATTTTTTCAGGACTGAAACAGGAAACACAACATTTTTTTCCTAGGCCTATCAACCTGGGGACACAGTAGATTTCTTACCTCTAGCTGTGCCACTCTCTCCTGTTCCTTAGCAACATACTCATCGTCCATAGCAACGGCTTTGGCCATGACAGCTGCCATCTCACAAATCTTCTCAATCTTTGTTTGGACCTCCTGAAACATAGAAAAAATCATTGAACAAATTAACTTAGTAGGTAGGTAATATTTGCAAAACAAAATGCATAATGTTTACCTTCACATGGCCTAGCCCAACAGACTACTGCCCTGTTTATTCTTACTCAAAGACAATCATATATGTGTTGACCAGCTCCTCCAACTCTGTCCTGCAACTTGCTACAAAATGAAAATTGTAATCCAGCACCACAGGATGTCTGCTACAGTACCAGTAACCATGGCGACAGCCATCTGGTCCAGGCCATTGACCTTATTTGTTTGTAGAGGAAGAAGAAGAAACAGAGCAAAAACTATTTATGTTTTCCTTCTGCAAAGGTAAATCTCACCTGTGTTGTCATGTTTGTTTACTAAGCCTTGTGGGTCGTGTGGCACAACGGCAGAGTGCTCGACTCGGAACCAAGAGGTCCCGAGTCCTTACATGCCACTGCTCTTGTGCCCTTGGGTAAGGCACTTTAAACAACTTTCCCCACTTTAACTCAAGTGAAAGTGAGTATTGTCTATTCTGTATTTGTTTCTATGTGTGAGACACAACACCAGCAACAGCTGCCTCTGTTCCGCGTGTATTGCACTGTTGTAATTTCAATGAATTGAATCAAATGAAATTAAGTCTCACCTGCGGTGTTGCAGCCAGCTGAAGTCTCGTCCAGGGCTTCTCGAGTCGATTTGCGACGACCAGTTTCAGGATCTGCTCCCGATATTTGCTCATGATGAGCTCCAGGGCAGCCTGGTGCTCCTGCAGGGAAACCCGCAGCTCCTAAGGAAACACAAACAAACAAACAAACATACCAGAGGTTAGCATGAAAGTTCATCTGTATCTGTATCTATATCGGTATAGCCGGTATAACCGCCCTTCGGCGTAACACACCAGCTTCCCAGGCACGCGGCGCGGCGGCAGCTAGCTATATCACACCGGACGACTTGTTACACTCAATCTTTGCACATTTGATTGCAGGAGTTGTTTAAAGCTTTCTGGTGATGATGCCCCAACTGTGCTTGGTGGCAACGAGTTCCAGTCTACGATTAGTTCTGGGGAAATACGAGTTTTTGAATACCTCAATTCTTGGTTGATCTGTGTTGGTATACTTCATTATGACAAAAAGGCTGAACGTTCTATGCCAACACATGTGAATTGGGACTTACCCAAATTTTCTGGAAGCTGCAGTAGACAGGTCTATTCCGTGAACAAGGCTGACAGAGTTAGCTGAACAGTCCCAATTTACCTGGTGTTGGCACAGAATGTTTAGCCTCTTTGTCATAAACCAGATACCTTTGACCCAGTGTTGACGTCACACTTCAAAGAAGCCACGTGACAAGCCTCACTGGGTCAGTCTACTGAGGAAGACCAGAGTGACTGGTGGAAAGTTCTAGGTGAGAGAACTTTTTTGTGTTGGACCAAAAGTTTTGATTTAAACATATTTGTTTGTTTGTTTGTTGATTACCTTGTTTTCCTGCTGCAGTTCCCGTATCTGCCTGTTCTCCTGCTGGATGCCGAGGATCAGCGTTGATCGCGGTTTGTGTCGGGCGACTTCGTTCAGCTCATTCATGTCCTCCTGGTACTGTAGGGGTCAAACATTAACTCATTAACTAACCATTAACTCATTAACTAATCATTAACTAATTAACTAATACTGGGTACTGTAGCCTAATGTAGGGGTAAAACAGGCTAAGCATTAACTTATTAACTAATCAACAGTTACTCATTAACCGGTACATGTGTGTGTGTATACTGGCTACAGTGGGGGTCAAACAGGCCAATCATTAACTCATTAACCTTTTCCCTGCTGTTTCTTTAATTTTTTTATTTACTTCAAGTTCACCACAAAACAAGGCTCATGGGAGCCACTCAAATGTTTTGGGTTACTTGTACAGTGACGACAGATGTCTGTTGACCTTAGACTTGAAAAGTTTTCATGTAACGCATACAAGTACAGTGTACACCAATGACCATGTACATGCCAATTATCTGCCGGTAAGCAAATCACCCAACGCAGTTTTTGCCTACCACTTGCTGGCTGTGACATCACAGCAATCGCTCGAGCTCCTATTCAGTTTGAAACTGCAAACCTGTTTCATGGCATCAATGCGCTTGTTGAGGACCTGAGCCTGACCAATCAGGCCGTCCGCGGCCGTGTCGTGGTCTCGGAGCCGGTCAACCAGCTTCTTCGTCTCCGACAGGATCTGGTCAATCGTCAGCGTCATGGCGACGGCTGGGGTAAACAAACAAACAAACAAATAAACAATCATGTAAGGAGGAACAGTCACCTGAAATGCCTGTTTTCAAAATCAAACTAAACTAACTAACTAGATAATCATTAGATAGCTTTAAACAATGTCTAGAGTTAGATGTTCAGGGGTTACGTGTAACAAGTTGTTCGGTGTAATATAGCCAGCTGCCGCCACGCCGCGTGCCTGCGAAGCTGGTGTGTTACGCCGAAGGGCGTTATACCGGCTATACAGATACAGAAGCTGGTGTGTTACGCCGAAGGGCGGTTATACCGGCTATACAGATACAGAAGCTGGTGTGTTATGCCGAAAGGCGGTTATACTGGCTATACAGATACAGAAGCTGGTCTGTTACACGGAAGGGTGGTTATACCGGCTATACAGATACAGATAACTACAGAACAGTCACTGGTAGTGGATATTAACATTATTACCTGAAATGGCTGACTATTTCAAAATCCATCCAGTTGCTTCAGCTTGAATAACTGTTTCTGTTTAGTTTAAATGAAGGAACAGGCTGGGAGGATAACAGAGGGGTTTGGCAGGATCACACGACGACTTCTAGTTTTTAAAATAACATTTGTAACGTTTAAATTTGTTACACTACAGTTTAAGTTTATCATATTTTCATGTGCTAGTGAACGTGAACACAGCTTCGTCATAGATTCAGACCATAAAGCGTTTTCCTTTAGGTCAAAATAACTCCATCTGTTCTTACATTTACAACTGTTTTAAGAAGCGAGAAGAAGCAGAACCTGTACATGTGTAGTTTTACTACAGATATATATGAGTCTACCATCGCTATTTACCATGACCTGTACTGTTCGAAATTGCAAGCAAAAATGTACAATAAAGCCTTTTTAATAAAGGTCTTTCATTCGCTCATTCAAATTATAATTCAAGTTGGCTCTTGTCCAGTAAACTGATGTCCATCCCAGGAGACATCCAGTACAGAGCTTGAGAAAAAACACGATTCGTGAAGGAGAGATCTAGACTTTCTCTAAGTTGAGTCTAACGTTACACAGTTAGTTAGTACATGATAGTCAACGTTGAAGGGGGAGGGGGGCGTCCTATCCGCTGAGGAAGGAAACTTTTCGGTTTACTCATGAGTATCGTAACATATCTGGGTCAGATTCTCTCATATAAGCAGTTTTCTGCATGTTAGTGCCGAAAATACAAGTATTTGGGCTAGTATCTTGTTAGAAATACGGTAAGAAGCTCACCGCTCTTTCTTCCTGCTTCTTCCAACGACAAGGGGTCACCGACGGGGTCGCCGGCCCGAGCGTTGCCGAAGGCGAGCCGATCGTGGCGTCATCATCCCGAACATTGCCGATCAAGCGCCGAACATGACGTCATGTCACAGTAGGCCCTGCTGGCAGCGACATCTAGCGATTATAGGTAAAACTGCACACAATCAGGCGTAATGCATCTTTCCGTCGTTTTGTGGTTCCGTCTCCACCAGTCTCTTTTACAGGTCGAATAACAAGTAGAAATCGGCTTAAAAAGAATGTAGCTGGCCAGGGGTGTGTGGCGCAGCGGTAGCGCTTTCGGCTCAGGACCTAGAGGTCCTGGGTTCGATCCCCACCCATGTCACCAATCTTGTACCCTTGGGAAAGGCACTTAACACGACTGTCCTCACTTCACTCAGGTGTAAATGAGCACCTAGCCTCGGTTAGGACGTCCCTCGGATAGTACGTTAAATGGAGAGCCACACCTCGAGCACGTTAAAGAACCCACCACACACCTTTCGAAAAAGAGTAGGGGCATGCCCCGGTGTGCCATGGTCCAAAACTAATACTGTCTGGGAGTTGGTGATTCACTACAAATGACAAATCACCCGGATGGAGGCCTGGCGAACCCCATCTCGTACTAGCCACTAAAGACAGCTGCTACAATCTTTAGCTAGTTGAAGGCGGCTGCCTCAAAATGACAGAAGAAGAAGAGGGGGGTTAGCTGGCCATAGCAGGCTCCGGGGTGGGTGGGGATTTAGATACTTTAGATAGTAGAGTTTTGAAGAGTTTTTAACGCCGAGGCAATGAGGCATAAGGAAGCATTTTGAAGGTCAACTTTGACTCTAGATATCTCGTCTTTGAATAATTTTTGAGTCCTCAAAGGCACTGCAGGAGCTTGGGCAACTTGTCTCGATAACGAAGAGCCATTTATATGATCAGTCATGTGACAGTGACCTCTTTTTACTTTTATGCATTATCAATTTTGGTTGAACCTAAATTATTATTATTTATCATCTATGTTACATTTGATTTGATTTATGTATATGACCAGTACTACTTAATTCCCTGTATTTATCTACTTATATATTATGTTAAGTTATAATTTATGTTATATCTGATTCTCTGTACCTTTTGAGCTGTTTTGATTTTGTATTTTGTCAGTGCCTTATAAGCCCATATGGGCTGGGCGACATATGATCACAATGGCACAGTCATTCATTCATTCATATATATTTGATCTGACCTCTTTGACTTCTTTTTTTTTCCATGACCATGTCTCATGCCTTAAATCGGCGCGTCACACAACGGAAAAGGGCATGCGGGCCCTCGTGGAGTTGGTCTGTAAACAGTCTGACATCCAGGTTACAGGCTAAAAATATCCGGTGCGGGGGATGGCCGGCGGGTCCAAAGTCGGACGGTCGGCGGGGGCGAAGTCAAAGGTAGTGAGTAAAACAATGGAGACCGGCCCGTCCTACTCTCCAAGCAGAGGTTTGGGTTATTTTTGGCGTGTTTTTAGAGTTTTTTATCGGGATTTCTTTTTTTGCGCTGAAATTTTGTTGGGTGAAATTAAAATTCCAGTGCAAAATAAAAAGGCTAAAAACACGCCACAAAATAACCCAAGCCTTAGAAATTGCTTGGAGAGTAGGCCCGTCAGTGTTTTTAATCTCTCACCCGCCCGCACTCTACACTCGATCTTGTTGAACAGCGGCAAAATAAAGGCTTTGAATGCAATTGAATTGACTGTTGTGGACGCAGTCCTGTATGTAGGTCGTGCATGTAAATATAGGTGGCGGGTTAGACCCCCGCTTGTTGTCACTCCCATAGTCTCTCAGCGTGCATGTTTTCGGGACGGATCGTTTATTGAGCTGGTGCATGCCATAATCTTTACAAAAGTCGCTGTAGTTTTGTTCTGGCAATAAATATTTCTGATACAAAAAAAAGAAAAAGAACTGTACAATCGAACCTGCATGCACATAATGAAAGGTAAAAAAAAAACAGAACCTCCTGGAAGCTAAAAGATTCTTTTTTCTTTCTCATCACACTTTTTTTTTAGGTATTTATATAGAAAAGTCTTGCCCCCCATATTAGACTGGCTTCCAGGGCACAAAAATAAGGACACCACTACAAAAGTAACCCCCTGTAGTGTTCTCAGTTATCTCAATCCTGGAGCGAAGTCCGGACTACATCTAGCTAGGGCGTGCTTGGGCATGGTGTGTACGTGAGCTTATGCAGACGGGCGGGTCTAGATTGGCTTCCTGTTGAAGTCTGTAGTCCTAGGCTTTGGGCGGGGCAGACGATATCGCCGGCAGTACCAAGGACATTGTCCTTGCTAGTACTAAATGAAACACGGAAGCTAGAGACTATACTACGTCTACTGGACAACGACATGGCGTTTAGGTGTACCCCCAGGCGACGTGTGTGCTGTGGAGTGCTCGGGATGGTGTGTCTGTTGGGAGGGGTGGTCGGACTGTGTCTGTACAACATGCTACTGGACGGATTCGTCTCACACGTACGTACGGAAGAACCGCGCTTATCCATGTTATCCAATTTACTGCATGCCTGAATAGTACGGCGCTATTGTATTATGAACCGTGCCTAGCTAGTTCTATGTCGCCCGAATGGGCTCGAGTTACGGTAGGCTCGAGTTAAGATCACTACAATGCAGTTCTGGATAAAATTATCAGGGCGTGTACAAGAACGTGGATTTGCCCCAGGCACGGTTCTGTATACTTCAGCCAGGACTATATAGAACAGTGCCCGAGCATGGCTCTGGATAACGCACGTACGATGCTGGATACAAAGGAGGTTTAACCTCCTTGATACAACAAATATTTTTAACTTACAACAGCAAATATATTTTATCTTCCACCCCGTTTTTACAAAATATGTATGGCCTATAGTAGTGTTCCACTGTTTTTTTTTTTCAAGTGCTTGTAGATTAGTGTTGTAAAATTGTTTCCTCATCAGGCATTACGCCTCTTGGAAGTCTCAATTTGAGACCGCAAAATGCAAACAAACATGGATGAGTCCAGGCAGCTGTTCTGTGATTGTTTTCCTGATCAGCGGTGACCCACGGTCGGGGTGACCTTTGTACACATGGACTGGCCCACTAGCATTCGGGGGTAGAAATTCACATCACAAAAATCTCAATAAACAAATAGTATGATAGTCTCCCGCCAGAAACCCGCTTCGAATGAGCTTTGCATTTCGTAAATCAGCTTGTTAATGTAGATGAGGACGTAATTGAATAAATTGTTTTTAAGCTTTAAACCTCCTCTGGGTCCAAATATGCGCCAAGTGTGTTGAAAAGTGATAGTAAATGTTGATAACAACGAGATTTAATATAATTAGAATTTTCAAATTTTTTGCGTAAAAAGTTACATAAGGCCCCTTTAAATTGGTTTGCAGAACAACATTTTCTTTTTTTCTCTGGCCTTCCCAGTTGATGTCCCTA